GTTACCTGTGTGTTACAGGTGTACAGTGGTTACCTGTGTGTTACATGTGTACAGTGGTTACCCTTGTGTTACAGGTGTACAGTGGTTACCCTTGTGTTACAGATATACATTGGTTACCTGTGTGTTACAGGTGTACAGTGGTTACCTGTGTGTTACAAGTGTACAGTGGTTACCTGTGTGTTACAGGTGTACAGTGGTTACCGGCGTATACATCAGGTACCTGTGATCACAGGTATATTGTGGCTACCTGTGATTACTGGTATCAGCGTTTATCTGTGATTACTGTATACAGCAGTTACATAGGAGTTACATGCCTATACAGTATAGTCTCCTGAGAATTACAGGTCTACAGTTTTTTATGTCAGTTACAGGTGCACAGTGATTCCATGTGCCTTACAGGTGTACATGTTACCTGTGATTTACATGTATACAAGAATAACCTATGAGTCAAAGGCATACAGTAATTACCTGGGAGCTACACAAACAGTGATTACCTTTGAATTACAGGTATACAGTAGATACATGTATGCTAGTTACTGGTGTACAGTGGTTACCTGTGGATTACAGTTCTAAAATGGTTACCTGGGCGTTCCAGTAAGAATTACACAGACGGAATGCATGGACTTGATCTCCAACCTGACCGGGAACCCTGAGAGAGGTATGTGTCCAGTTACAGTTGGTGAGGGCATTGTTTCCCCTCAGATCGTTGCCAGACCCTTGAGGTGTACCCCTGTCATCACAAAGCAGTTGATGTTATTTCTCAGGTATTTTACTTAAGTATAGAAAAACTGCCAATCACATCAGTTTATGTTTGCAGATATAGGTAAATTAAATTTAAGTCTCTTTGCTTTCTATTTCATTTTGAAAATAAGGTCAAAATTTCTGAAGCTCTTAAGGACGGCTTAAAATGACTATCAAAGTTTAAGTTAGCTCTGATATACTGCTGACGTTAACTTTTCCATGAATTGTAGCCGCTATAGATATTCAAAATGTTGTAGATATGTGAAGCTTAAAATTGACAGTGCAAGTTAAAAAGCTTTCAATTGAGTTGGAAAACAAGAGGCCCAGAGGGCCTGTATCGCTCACCTGGATACCTAAGCAATCATGGCAAACTATTCTCCAAATGAGATCAAGGGAATATGCCAGACCCCAATGCCAATCCTTGTAGCATAGCTATATTAGATTTTTCATGCCCAGCAATTTTATGTATGGTTATGGGGTGTGGATCTCAACTGTTTCCAAGCTTCGACTCAGAAACTAGGTCCCTAGAGTTGTGGCCAGACCCCAGGATCGATTCTAATATCGTGACTGCATTTGTCTCTTTTTGCCAAGCATATAGTTTTGGGGTGGGGATCTCAACCGTTTCAAAGTTATGACCCAGGGGCCAAGTCTGTAAGGGTGGGGCAGACCCTGGGATCAATTCTAATATCATGACTGCATTCGTCTCTTTATGCCCAACAATTGTATATATAGTTTTGGGGTGGGGATATTAACCATTTCAAAGTTATGACCCAGGGGTTAAGTCTCCAAGGGTGGGGCAGTCCCCAAGGCCAACCTGGAAGCATATGTGCAATCATCTCTTTATACTCAGCAATTGTATATATACGGTTATAGGGTGGGGCTCTCAACTGTTTCCAAGCTGTGACTAAGAAACTAGGTCCCTAGGGGTTCGGTCAGACCCCAGGGTCTATTCTGATATC